TTGATTTATCTGTCCTCTCTTTCTCTCTTTTATCTATCTACCTCCTAGTTAGCTTGCTATCATGTTGTGTGTCTTGTTTTATGTATCTACTGTCTCTCTATCATGTCTCTCGCTCTCTATCCATCCATCTCATCTGTCTATCCATCTATGTCATAACAATCTACTATCTGTCTATCGGTATCTATCTCTTAATGATCTACTCTATTTATCTACCACTAGCCATTCCCTGCCAGGCGTTGCTGTGGCCCAGTCTGGTGATCTGGAAAATAAAGTAATGAGAAAGTGTTGGCTTCTAATATATTTTCTGCTTGTGGGTAAACAATATTTCTTGTTGTTTCTCTGTGTTGATGTGGAGATTGTCTGGTTTGCCTACCCTGGAAAACGCAACGTATCATAGTCCTTCTTTAGGGGCCCCTTTCAAATCTATGATACTATATCTCACTGTGTGTATGAATCATATCTATCATCTATCTATCTATCTATCTATCTATCATCTATCTATCTATCTATATCTATGGCTGGATGGCCCTTTGTCAGGAGGGCTTTGATGACGTTTTCTTGCCCAGGTGAAGGGAGTTGGACTGGATGGTCTTAAGTATTTTCTGTTGGTCATGGGGGTTCTGTGTGGGAAATTTGGCCCATTCTATCATTGGTGGGGTCAGAATGCTCTTTGATTGTAGGTGAACTATAAATCCCAGCAACTACAACTCCCAAATGTCAAGGTCTATTTCCCCAAACTCCACCAGTGTTCACATTTGGGCATATTGGAATATTCGTGTAGCATTTGGTCCAGATCCATCATTGTTTGAGTCCACAGTGCTCTCTGGATGTAGGTGAACTACAACTCCCAAATCTCAAGGTCAATTTCCCCTATTTTCTGTTGGTCATGAGAGTCCTGTGTGCCACATTTGGTTCAATTCCATCATTGGTGGAGTTCAGAATGCTCTTTGATTATAGGGAACTATAAATCCCAGTAACTACAACTCCCAAATGTCTATTTTCCCCAAACTCCACCAGTGTTCACATTTGGACATATTGAGTATCCATGCCAAGTTTGGTCCAGATCCATCATTGTTTGAGTCCACAGTGCTCTCTGGATGTAGGTAAACTACAACTCCCAAACTCAAAGTCAGTATCAATGCCCATGTTGGTCATGGGAGTCCTGTGTGCCACATTTGGTTCAATTCCATCATTGGTGGAGTTCAGAATACTCTTTGATTGTAAGTAAACTATAAATCCCAGTAACTACAACTCCCAAATGTCAAAGTCTATTTCCCCCAAACTCCACCAGTGTTCATATTGAGTATTCATGCCAAGTTTGGTCCAGATCCATCATTGTTTGAGTCTACATTGTTCTCTGGATGTAGGAGAACTACAACTCCCAAACCCAAGGTCAATGCCCATCAATGCCCATGTTGGTCATGGGAGTCCTGTGTGCCACATTTGGTTCAATTCCATCATTGGTGGAGTTCAGAATGCTCTTTGATTGCAGGTGAACTATAAATCCCAGCAACTACAACTCCCAAATGACAAAATCAATTTTTGTGAATGATGGTCACTCCTTGGGTCAGTAGGTGTTTGGTGGCCAAATTTGGTGGCAATTCCATCTCTCTCTCTCTCTTTCTCCATCTTCTGTCTGTCTAACAACATTGGATCTGATGTCCTTTGGGGTCCCTCCCTTCCAACCCTTGGGTTCTATAATGCCCTTTTCTTTGTCCACCTCTGTCCAGGTTGTGCATCTGCCACCGGAAATGGGCCCCTGTGTTCGGACAACGTGGACTCAGAGGGCCCCGGCTGCCCCCACAGAAAGAAGGCGGCCACGCTCCTGCCCTCCTTCACCGAGACGACCTCCACAACCATGATGCCCACCACGTCGACAACACATCACAACATGACCAATCACACCACCACCACTAGGCCCCCCACGCCGGCACCCACCACCCCCACCCACCACACCACTGTCAACGCCTCGCACCATACCACGCTCCGCAGCCACTCCACGGCCCGCCCTCAGAAACACACCACTCCACACCACCACCGAAGGCATACCACCACCGCTCACCACAAACACCACACCACCACGGATCACCATCCCCATCCCACCACTTCGACACACCATACCACGACCAGCCACCAAAATGGTACCACATCCCACCGGCCTCATCCTACCCCTTCGCCCCATCACACCACGACCCGCCATCATAACCTTACCACTGCTCACCATCACAACTTTACCACGACTCACCCACCCCATCCCAACACCACGGCCTATCCCCACAATCATACAACGGCTCATTTCCACAACCACACCACGGCCCATCCCCATAACCATACCACGGCTCATTTCCACAACCACACCACGGCCCATCCCCATAACCATACCACGGCTCATTTCCACAACCACACCACGGCCCACCCGCTGCCCACCACGGGTAACTCACCCACCCATCACACCACGGCTGTGCTCACCACGCCGGCCCACCACACCAGCCCTCTGCCCCCAGTGCCACCCACTGTGATGCCCTTTGTGCTAGTGGGAGACTACCGCGTGGAGAACGCTTCAGAGGTCTGCCTCCGGGCCCAGATGGGGCTGCAACTCAGGGTCCGCTACACCAAGAAGGGGAAAGAGCAGGTAAGGGGGGGGGGGCTTGGGGAACGAGGGTCTGATCCCATGTGGGGCTGGCTGCAGGATGTGAAAAGATGGGAATACAAGGGCTGGGAGATCTCGGGAATTAGAATCCAATCCCTCTGGAGGGGTGACTGAGAAGACTACTACTACTACTACTACTACTACTAGTAGTAGTAGTAGTAGTAGTTCTTATATCCTATTTCCTCACTTAAGCAAGACACATGGCAGATACAACAACAACAAGTAGTAGTAGTTCCTATATCCCATTTCCCTCTCTTAAACAGGACACAAGTCAGATTCAACAACAACAACAAGTAGTAGTAGTAGTAGTCCTTTTATCCCATTTTCCTCTCTTAAACAAGACACAAGTCAGATTCAACAACAACAAGTAGTAGTAGTTCTTATATCTCATTTTCCTCTCTTAAACAAGACACAAGGCAGATTCAACAACAACAAGTAGTAGTAGTAGTTCTTATATCCCATTTTCCTCTCTTAAACAAGACATAAGTCAGATTCAACAAGAACAACAACAACAACAAGTAGTAATAGTTCTCATATCCCACTTTCCTCTCTTAAACAAGCCACAAGGCAGATTCAACAACAACAACAACAAGTAGTAGTAGTAGTAGTAGTTATTCTTATATCCCATTTCCTTCTCTTAAGCAAGACTCAAGGCAGATTCAACAACAAGTAGTAGTAGTTCTTAGATCCCCTTTTCCTCTCTTAAACAAGACACAAGGCAGATTCAACAAGTAGGAGTAGTTCTCATATCCCATTTTCCTCTCTTAAACAATACACAAGGCAGATTCAACAACAACAGGTAGTAGTTCAACCTTTCTTGAGAGTAGTGCAACCTTTCTTGAGAGATAGCTGGGGGGATTTGGGGAGCCGAAACCCCTCCCCATAGTAGTGCCTTTGGGGGATTTTGGGAGTCGGAGTCCAGGCACTCTGGAGGCAAAGAATCAAAAGATGGAGGGATTCTGGTTGGAGTTAGGGTTAGATCAGGCATGGGCCAACTTGGGCCCTCCAGGTGTTTTGGACTCCAACTCCCACAATTCCTAACAGCCTACCGGCTGTTAGGAATTGTGGGAGTTGGAGTCCAAAACACCAGGAGGGCCCAAGTTTGCCCATTTCTGGATTAGACAATGCTTTGTATCCCTCTCTCTTTACATTTCTCCCCTTCTTTCCAGGCCTGGGGGGAGTTCTCCTTGCAGCCCAACCGGACCAACGTCAACGGAACGTGCTTCGACAAGACCACGACCCTCACACTGAGTTTCCCAGAGGGCTTTGTTTTCTTCTTTTTCTCCAAGGTAATAAGGGGAGTGCTGAGATGTTTGGTGAATTGGGGTGCATCTTGACCCCACTTGAGCTCCCATGCTACGTAATTGCAACAATTGCAGCAATTGCAGCAATTGCAGTTTTGCAAGTGCCCAAAAGTGCTGATGCCTCCAAACTGCAACTCCCAGGAGTCAGTTCAAACTGCATTCACTCAGCAATGCAGATCCGTGGTGTCCAAAGTGCCCTGGGTGTGGCTGGAGACGGGAATGCGATGACGCCGGACGAAACTCTGCAGGAACCTGTTGACCCGGGAATCGAAGCCCTGAGTCATTCTCTGACTCAGGAGCCAAGCGGCAGGAAAGTCTGGCTCGGCCAAACACGCTTTCCATCTCGTCCTAGTCCCATCGCTTCCAGATTTGGCGCAGAGAGTCCCGATTCATCCTCTGCTGTCCCAGTTTCACAGCTGCTATTTATTTATTTATCGTGTCAGTGCAACCAGTCGATTATATTACATTTCTAACAGAACAAAGCAAAAAAACGCCCAGAAAAAATACAAAATTTGAGAGTTTGGTAGTTGACTAAATGTCCTTTGACCAGTATCTGACCACTTGGAGTGCTTCTGGTGTTGCCGCAAGGAGGTCCTCTATGGTGCATGTGGCAGGGCTCAGGGTGCATTGCAGCAGGTGGTCAGTGGTTGGCTCTTCTCCGCACTCGCATGTCGAGGATTCCACTTTGTGGGCCCATTTCTTGAGGTTGGCTCTGCATCTCGTGGTGCCAGAGCGCAGTCTGTTCAGCGCCTTCCAAGTTGCCCAGTCCTCTGTGTGCCCAGGGGGGAGTCTCTCATTTGGTATCAGCCATTGGTTGAGGTTCTAGGTTTGTGCCTGCCACTTTTGGACTCTCGCTTGCTGAGGTGTTCCAGCGAGTGTCTCTCTAGATCTAAGAAAACTATGTCTTGATTTAAGTCGTTG